GATATGATTTACAAATGGAAAATTAGGCCATCATGATTGTTACAAAAACTGAAAACTGAACTGCTGCGTATATTCAAATAATTCCAATCACGAATCAACTGAGTCACAATGCATGTGACTTTTCAGGCTTTTTTTTTTTTAAAAAAAAAAAAACCATGTAATTGCTAAGATTTTTATGAGCGAGAAGACCCCTAACAGAAAACTAGCTGTCTTGCTAAACACTCTGCACAGTTACGCTGTCTCAGTTTTGCTTTTGATATGACCCTGTACTCAGCTCTCTGATACTTGGAAGTATCTTTTTATTCTACATTTTTTTCTTTGGACTGTCATTTATGTCTTAAGCCACTAACTTTGTGGACTGCTTGGTACCCTCTATGGCCCAACGCAAACCTGTGAACTTTCTAAAACATTATAATTTTTTCCGATTTCTTTTTGTAACTCAGTCGCAGGTTTCTTGAGTGTGAACTCTGTACACGACAGCATCATGTTACAGTGTCACGAAACTCTCTCTCACAAACCCAGTCCCTCTACCTGTGTGCCACATATGCACATCGAAGGTAGCATGTCCACAGTTTATTTTCCTCTCTTCCTTATAAGTATCCAGCCAGTCATCTGTGCAAGAAAGGGAGAGTACCTTCTCCTCAAGTTTTGCTTTATTCTTGCGATGCACCTAATACAGCTCATTTGTATAATCTTTCCTTCCTCCCTCTCTCCCTTCGTCCCTTCCTCCCTCCTTCCTTCCTTTTACCATCGTTATTTCTATTCGGGCTCTTTGAAAGTCTCTTGCTCCTTCAATTCTTTTTATATTATTGATAATTATATTTCCTAACAACAAAAGAAAAAGTGATCTCCCATCATTCCCCCACCTAACAAGATCACAGCCCAGCAAGCACTTGCCATTCCTGTCCACAGTATTTTTCACTATTGGTTGTTGGGTATAATATGAATCCCGGGTTCTTCTAGTCCTAGGGCGAGTCTCTCCTCCTTACAGTTCTCTAAGTCTTCATGTAAATTCAAAGATTTGGTCACACCAAGTCTCAGCCCTTCCCTGAACACATCACATCTTGGATTGTTATGAGAGTAGCAGTGTTCCCTCTGCCCAAGTGGAATTCTTCTGAAGAGCAGGGAGGAGGTGCTCATCACTAGAGGGTTGCCAGGGGACATGATGAAAAGGAGACCTATTTCTCATAGGATCCAGACCATAGGACGCTTTGTGAGTGTTTGAGATTGTCGCCTCTGCCAGCAGAAACACCTCTGGAAAAGCCTTACCAAAAAGTATTTCCTTTCTTAAATCTCCTCCACAACTCTGCCTGAAGTATTGGGATTTCTTCCTCTCTGATCTGAATGCCCAGTCTTCTACCAACCTCAAGATTGATGGAGATTTCACATTTCAGCTTTTCTGATATCAAGGTATATCTTATGGTCTACACATGAAGGCTTGGGTTAGCAGCTATCTTTCCCTTAGAAGCACAGGCAATAGTGCAGCGACTCATGAGAATGTGAAATCTGATAAAGTGTCACACTAAATTGCCATAAAATAATCCAAGGTCAATAATGCATGTTTGTGGTGGGCAAAGAATTGTATGTTTTCTATTAATTAGAGAAACAGCTTTTTAAGAAAAACACTTTAAAAAAGTAGCCAGCAGCAGTGGTGGACACCTTTAATCCCAGCAGAGGCAGGTAGCTGAGTTCAAGGCCATCCAGGACAGCCAGAGCTGTTACACAGAGAACCCTGTTTATAAACAATCAAACAAACACCAAAACCCCAAGACAACAACAACAAACCAAACAAAAAGTAGTACTGTCTTCTCCTGACAGTACATCATGACGTACTGCCTAAATACAACCCATGGACAATGGAGCCAAGTGAAACTAAAAACAAACAAATCACTCTTTTTTTCTTTTCTTAAAAAGAAACTTCTCTTTAGTGTCCCAATAATGAAGAGATGTTTCATTTGTGTGTCTAGCCAGTGAGCAAAGCTACAGCTTCTAAACATATTTAGGCAAGCATTCTGCATCATATAGGTCTCAGTTATATACTGAAGGGCAACAAAGGCACGGTCCCATGTGGTACTGTGTCCCACTGTCACCCAAGCAGCCCGAGCTGGCAGTCAGACATAGAGCTGATGAGGGTCCAGGGTGAGTCTGTGAACCTCTACACTGTGACGATGCTGCTGAGAAGGCAGAGGGGTAACCGGAAAAGCGTGACGAAGAAGGCAATGAAGAAAGATGGGGGCCACACACAGAATTTTAGGTAGTCTGATAGTTACAATTGAAAAGAGGAATAAAAAGATTAATGCTAAGGCTATATTTCACTTATGTTACCCAATAAATGAAGATACAATCACTTTACAATGCAATCAATATTAAGAAAGCAGAAAGGATTTTCTCTGATTTAGTCATATTGGAGTTGCAACACACGGCCGATGTCTGCTGTATCAGACAGTGCAAGTCCAAGCTGTTTTTATAAACTCAGTTAAACAATAAGGTAACAATAATGGGCTACTTGTACAGTGAGCTTTGCACCCCATCATGCTGGGAACATTTAAAATCCCCACAACATTCTTTAAGTTTGAAAAAAACAGAACATAGTATTCCCTCCAAATTCATTTTTGTGTCTCGTTTTGGATAATTTCCTTTAAAACATGATTTGAGACAATTCCTGGCATCCTTTTCACCTTCCCTTCACTCTGTTGGCTAAAGGAGAGCTGTCTATAACTCATCTTGGTCTAATAAGAAAGTCCTTGGTACAGTTGTAAGAATAAAATCACTTTAGAATGATCAGTATCTCACATATGGCAGGTTCTGAACACATATCTTTGAATATTCATTAAAAAGTGAACTAAAGTTGACAACAACAGTCTATGGTTTGAAATCCACAATGACACTATCTACCTTAGAGCTCCCACAGCCAGAGAAGCTGGTGGTTGATCTAGAACTTGTTTTGGCTATTGAGACTTAGAACAGTGGGTTACCTCTTCTGAAGTTGTAGGCCAATGGGCTTCCATAGAACCACAAGAATTAGAGGCTCCTGCAAATACTCTTAGTTACCTTCAGAACCTGTTGGTGGGCATGAAATCCAATTGAAAGCTGAGAGACTATTGGCATTTGATGGCTACCGGGAGAGAAAGAGTCAGTTTCCTTTAGTGATGTGACCTATAGGGCAGGCCCCGTTCCCATGTGTAGTTAACCAACACAAACTGGATCCAATAAATCTTTTAAAAAGGAAAAAAATATAGAAGTTAAATAGGTAGGAAAGTAAGGATGTAGAGAATGGATCTGGGTAGAGTTGGGGGGGAGGGCCAATAAGATCAAAATACTCTATTTTTTTTTTAATTCTCAGGTACTACTTTAGGACTTGCTTTTTTGAGGTAAGAAATGCAGTAAATTTCCAAAGCATGAAGCTTTCAAGGTTCTAATCTATTCATAACTACCTCTTTTTATTAAAGTATTAGAATTCTCCATGTATAAAGATTTTTAAGGTCATTAAGATATACAGGCAGAAAAATACTCCAATATATACATGTTAGAATTTTCCAGATATAGAATAATAGGAGGTTTTTTAAAGTATAGATCTTTATCTATACTTATCTTAATATAAATTTAAGCCATATGTACCTCATTTCAAGTTCATTTTACATATGTGAAAAGAGTCTTATGAATTAAGCCTAACAAATGGAAGTATCTTCTGGCTACGGGAGCATCTACAGGTTGTGTATGTATGGCATAACCACAAAGCAACATATTTACCTTGATGACTCACATAAAAAACCTACCTAGTCACAGGCACACAGAACAAAATATCTCAATCTTTGCTCTCAAGGTGATATCTAGCCTGATCCGTTACTCCCAACAAACATGAGGGTCAGCAAGATCAGCTCTGCCTTCTGCCTTCTCGAAAACAGGGCTTTGCCACAGAGGAACGAGCAGGGATCTCTGCAGAGAGAGAGCAGCTGGGACGGAGTCCCTGTGACTCATGGACTGGGAATTTCTCTGCTAATTTCCAAGGTGGTTTGGCCATACTTCGTCAACTGACCCAACTTAGCAGCCTTTTGTTGATGGTGTGGTATCATGTGGCCTTATTCAGTAATAGAAACAGCATGTTGAAATTTACCCAACAGTTCCCGCATGCATTTCCTCTGGCTTTCTAGTAAAGAAGAAAGCTCCCTCCAAAAACTCCACACTTCCTTTTCTTGCAAACCTTAAACTGAATTCAGGAAATTAAAGTAGGAAATACGTAAAAGCATTGTATTTTCCTGTTCACTAATTGTGATGAGTAAAAGCTTCCCAGTTCTACCAAAAATATGGAGGAAGTCACAGAACAGGCAAAGGTTTCTAAGTAAGTGTTGCATCTCCTGGCTAAGCCAAAGAGTCAAAGGGTGCTGGGCAGTGGGATGATGACATTCACGGGGCCCCAGTTTGCCTCTCTGTAAAGGAATGGAAAATATAAATGGAAAACAAACAATAACAAATTTCACGTTTCCAAGTTTACACCATCATGAGACCAGCCATATGATCCTCACTGACTTCTCAGGGCTGACAACAAATCTGAGTGTGCTGCAGGACTAGGTAAGCCTTGCACGTCCACACTGTGATCAGCTAACGTGGACCCAGGTCACCTGTGCTGACAGCATGTCTACACTGTGGTCAGGTAACATGGACCAAGGACACGTGTGTTGCAAGCCGTGCACATCTGCACTGTGATCAGCTAACACGGACCCAGGTCATCTGGGCTCCAGAGGTGACAGAGAAGTTTGCCTTCAAAATATTTCGAAAGCAGGAATGACAATGAATGACTGAAAGTGTGAAATGGTCTCAGAAGGTGAGACAAAGATACAGGGCAACTCCATCTACATTGAGGATGGAGCCACCGCTGGAAGATGGACCATGGACCCAGTGGTGTTGTCTGTGGCCACCGGGGATGAAGTGGCAATGGAGGCCTCAAGTGCTGTCAAGAAAGCTCTTGAGTGTCCTGATGTGCACCCGAGAAAGCCTCCTACCTTTCTGGAAGAAGTCCTCCAGCTTGTCCTTGAAAGGCTGCAGATACTCCTTCGGGGACTCCTTGCACACCAACTTCATCTGTTGCTCACTTGCTGCAAAGAGAAGTATAGAAGAGACTTAACCGGGAATAATTACTTGCTGAGATCCTGCTTGGGCACAGCGTTATGTTATCAATTGTACAGACTCCATAGCAACCACAGTCTAACCAAACTCCATGGGAAAAAATAGCACATTCTGTACCTCTATTTCAGAGCAGGGATATGTGTAACATTTAATTTTCTTTTTAGCCATTCACAAGAAGATCTATAAGCTGTGCTAGGTAAAATATTCTGCTTTTTTTGTTTCTCATAATCGAGTGGAGAAGGTACCTAAGGACTAATTCCAGGGAAGAAAGGCCCCTGACCTTCTTCAGAGTCATAAACTGAAAAGGATTTTGCTGAAGTTCCCATAATTCCAAACTGTCCAGAATCATCAAGTTATTCTTTATGCTCACAGACACTCCAGTCCAGTTTAGGAAGTACTGCATCTGCTCCTCATGTTAGAGGAGTTCATGTTCTCAGTTAGAACAAACAAAGGTCATTGTCAAGATGAAAGTGTTGACTCAGCATAAGTCCTGACACAGCGAACAGGGCAGAGAACCCTGGACCCCGCCTGGCACACACTAGCTCCTCTATACTCATCCAAACTACGAGCTCAGAGTAGAAAAATCATTAACAGCCAAGTGTGCCTAGTGACCCAGAGATGTGGGACACTGCAAAGCTTTAAAATAAACCGAACACAAAATACAGAAATAAATCCACATGGAGGCTTTGTAGGAGAAAGACAAATGTAAGGAGCAGGTGACGGGTAAGATTGATTTGTTTGACCAATGAGGAGAAGGAGGGAGGGACCTGAGTTCAGAGTGACAAATACTATTCTCAGAAAGCAATGGGACACCCCCACATCACTCACCTAACACTTCACTAACACATGAATAATATCCCTTGGTTTGCTTCAGACAGGACACCTAGAATTTATGACAAGTTACTGTTTTGATAATCAGGTTACCTTGAACCAAAATGTTCTGATTTCATTACATATAAAGTATCATGATCAAGAGTTCACTGTCTCCAGGAGTGGTTAGCTCAGGCAAAAGATGCATTTTCTGTAAAGCTTCTGTACCCCATAAAGTCTCTCTGCTGACATAACAATCCAAATCAGACCAAATCAATACGGACTAGAAAAAGCTCAGGTTTAATGGATACAATGCTCCCGGATGATTTCACAGCCCTCGAAAGGAGATGGGAAAGGAAGACTGGAAAAAACCCCATGTCTATTTTCTGGGGAGGGGTAGTTTAAATACTCTGCAAGAGTGGTCTTGAGCATCTCTACCGGAGGGGTCATCATTTAGTGGGCTTTGGAATGAGATAGGGGAGGAGGCTTGGAGTGGAGCTCCCACCTGAACATTCTAGACTTGTTGGATATATGAATGCCAGGGGCTGGGGTGAAGATTCCACCCAAACATTTTCAATATGCTTTTGGCCAGAGGCTTCAACTATTGGTCATGGCTGGAAATTACTGATAGACCCTTGTCTGAGACACCAAAATTAAACCTTGGATTTTTATCATATGCAAATTATGCTACCTAGTTAAAATAAAATGAGAAAAACCTAGACGTATAGTGTACACCTGCCATCCAAGAGCTTGGGAGGCAGAGGCAGGTGGAGCTTGTGTGTAGAGGTAGACTAAGCTACACAGAATGCGCTAGCCTGGCCTGGCACTATATGAAACCCTGTCTCCAGGGGCGCGTGTGTGTAGACAAATGTATACTTTATAACTTTGAAGAATCTATAAACAAGAAGGTAAGGCATTTTGAAGATAAGTCATTGGGAAGGGACCTTTATTTACATCAGGAACATTCTAAGCAGTCATATGGTGTTTTTACAAACAAAGCGATTCCCTATCCCCTCTGCAAGGAGTCACCGCACACTTCTGTCTGGGACCGCACACTTCTGTCTGGGACCGTCTTGCCTTGAACTCCCGTTGAGTCTCTAAAGGGCTCATGTCGCAGGAGGGAGTTAGCACACTTGGCTTCACACTTTCCAGCTGCAGTACTGGCAACCAGATTTCTAGACTCTTCAACTATGCTGGGAGACTTGAAGATGTGCTTGGGGAGGGAGCATGATTCGAAGCCATCTTGTGTGGTTTTCTGGTTTTCTAAGCATAACCTCAGGGTTCCAGGCCTTCACTGTAGGGCAGGGTTACTAGATCACAGTACAGGAGAACCCTTATTTGAGCTTCTACCATCACAGCTGCTTTCAAAGACTTCTGGCCAGAGCTTAAATAGACAATCTACTGCTATTCAGACACCTGTCCCAAGGCTGGCTGGGAAACCTGTCCATTGGTCTGCAGACTTTAACTGAATTTTTTTTCTTACAGTTCACCAAGGTGAAAAATACAAATCCTATTTTGGAACAAATGAATAGATAACATTTTTTTTTTAAATCAGCCAAACCATTTCAAAATATTTGCTTCTGGGACCAGTAAGATGGCTTAGTGGCACTTGTCACCAAGCCTGTTGCCCTGAGTTCAATACCTGGGCTCACGTGGTTAAAAGGGAGAATCAACCCTAAAAGTTGTACTTTGTCCTTTGCATGAGCTCACACACAAATGAACATGCATGTATCCATACAACAAATAAACACGTAAGACATAAAAACAAGCAAAAACATAAGTATTTGGACATTTTTAGCTTTCTTTGAAAGCATTTTTGATCTTCTTTCTAAAAAGTACTCTATAACTTCCCCACTATTATGAAATTTCTCTTTCCAGTTTTCCAAGTATAAATAATTTGGACAATGGTAAACATCCTTCCTGACACCACTTATCTTGCTGAAACCGTGAAACAGAAATGTTCTGAGCTTGAGTGCTGTCAGAGGACAGAGAAAAAGGGAGAGGCAGTTGGAGACTGAACTGGGACACACCTTAAAGGTAGAATTAACAGATCTGGAATATGGACTCAGGGTAGGGATGAAGGGTGGGAAAGCCATAATGGGTGATTCCAAGTCTACCTAAAAGGGATTAGTGTATTTAAAAAACACATTCATTTGTGTGTGTATTTTAAATGTGTGTGTACGTGCTTAGTATGTATGTTTACAAGTATGTGCATGCATGTTGAGGCCAGAGGGTGACACTGATATGTTCTTTTCGCTCTCTGTCTTATTTTTGAGACAGGGTCTCTCACTGAATCAAAGGCAGGCCAACCAGCTCTCAACCCCCACCCCATCCCATCCTGTCCCTGTTTTTCCAAGCACGGGGACTACAGACCAGTGCTGTCATGCCAGACTTCTACATGGGTGCTAGTGACCTGAGCTTCGGTCTTCATATGTATCTGGCAAGCATTTCTCTGGCTGTGTCACCTCCCCAGCTCCTGGCTTAGTGAATTTTCATGACTTTAGCACCGCCCATCACCTCCTCCCAGGAGGCATAAGCAAGGTAGCAAAGATGATCATATTGTCTGTGCATTTCTAGAGGAGATCAATGCACAGGCAAAAGGTCAAATAAACTTTGAATGAGCTCTGCTTTGAACCATCATTTGACAATGAACGTTTAGAGAGGCATACTTTTCTCCTGATATGCAGTTATGACTCTGAGAATACCTGAAGTCGTATGATTTCTCACAGTATAAACCATTAGCTCTTGAAATTCAAAAATCCCTCACTGACATAAAAATTCCAGTAACAATTTTTATAACTGCCTTTATGAGCACAAACAGTAAGTCATGTTATCAATTTAGAAAATGAGATATAACTGAAAGCATGAAGTTGATTCCTTCAAGGTCACTTCTAATCAAAGTGTAGCTTAGGAAGAGCTTGTATCCATGGTCACTAAAGCATGACTTCTACTTTTCTTGAATTGAAAAGGTTATTGCAGCTCTTCTTTTGTCCTGAAAGCAGTGACAGATGGAATGCCCATAAGATGGTTCAAATTTTATAAGCCATGTCACAGAACTGGAAAAAGCATGTCCTTGGAGCAAGGCTTCCCTGGACTCAGGTGTGCTGTGGCACCTTCCTTTCTGCATGACATGAGATAAAGCACAAAAGTAGTCTGTAGAATGTGAAGCATTAGCAAGCAACTGTAGGAGGAGGAGGGCCAGCTTGTTCGTCCTGGCCGCCCGGCTAGCTTAGACCCGAAATAATCACACAAGAACTATATTAATTAAATCACTGCTTGGCCCATTAGCTCTAGCTTCTTATTGGCTAACTTTTACATCGTAATTTAACCCATGTCCATTAATCTGTGTATCACCACGTGGCAATGGCTTACCGGCAAAGTTTCTGCATGTCTTACTCTGGCAGTGGATCCATGGCATCTCCCTGACTCTGCCTTCTTCCTCCCACCATTCCATCCAGTTTTCCCTGCCTACCCAAGTTCTGCCCAATCAACAAACCAAGACAATTTCTTTATTCATGAATGGTAATCACAGCACAGGGGGGACTCCCACATCAAGCAACTTTGAAAAATAATATTTGTTATTATGATTATCTAGTAAATTTGGTCAGGAAAAATTTCACAGTGGGGAGATTACAGTGTGATGGCTGGGGACTAAATGCTGAGGAAGCTGTGTGCTCAGTTTACAGAGGTATTACACAGCAGAGATCTCCCGTTTGGAAGATGGGAGTAGGCTGGTTATAGTCCACAACCCAAGAGAAGCTAGGTAACAGGGAGAACCCTAAGAGAGAAACACACAAATCCCCTTGGGAAGGGGAAATAGATAAGATCTCCTGAGAAAATTGGGAAGGGGGAGGGCAGAAGGAAAGGTGGAGAGAGAAGGAAGGGAATGGGGGGAGAGAACAAGAGGGAAAGGAATGACCAGTATGGGGGAGGACAGAGAGGGAGAGAAAGGAAAGAGCTATCTTTATTGAGTGAGCCATTAAGGGGCTGGCAAGAAACCTGGTATTAGGGAAATTTCTAGGAATCCACAAGGATGACCCCAGGTAAGACCCTAAGCAATAGTGGAGAGGACACCTGAACTGACCTTACCCTATAATCAGACTGATGACTACACTAATTCTCATCATAGAATCTTCATCCAACAACTGATGGAAGCAGA